CTTGGGAATTGTCTGGTCAATTTTTTTTTAACTTCATCTTTTGCTTTTTGCCTTAGCTACTTCATGATTAAGAGGAAGTTTCAGAGTCTTTTCTGGCAGCCACTTTGATCTTTTCTTTTTTCCTGTCATTTTATTGACCTTTTGCTTTCTTAATCTATGTTCTTGATGTCATTCCACAGCTCATCGGGTCTTTTGTCCATAGTGTTCAAAGCATCAAATCTGTTTTTGACATGTTCTTGAAACTCAGCGGAAAGACTAAGGTCATATTTTGTTTGAATATGTTTGAATTTTCTTCAACTTCAACCTGAACTTACACAAGAGTAATTGATGGTTTGTTTCAGTCACCCCATGGCCTGATTTTAGTAGCTAATATCCTGCATCATCTCTTCACACAGATATATCAATTTGATCTCTGTGTATTCCATCTGGAGAAGTTCACATGCATAATCAGTCCTTGTGTATTGCTGAGAAAAGGTTTTTGCTACGAATAAGTCATTGGTCTTGCAAAATTCTATCATGCGGTCTCCAATTTTGTTTCTATAACAAAGACCATATTTCCCAATTACTGTTCCTCCTTCTTTATTTCCAACTTTTGCATTCTAATCGCTAATAACTATCAATCCATCTTGATTGCGTTTGATAAATTTCCAACTGAAGATATAATCTGTCAATTTATTCATCACTAGCTTTAGTGGTTGGTGCATAAATCTGAATGACAGTTGAACTGATTTACTTGTATTGGGATAGACATTGTCCTATCATAGCACATTATACTTCAAAATAGATCTTGAAATGTCCTTTTTGATGATGAATGAAATGCTATTCCTCGTGTCATTCACTCTCAGCATAGTAAACCATAAGATTTCCTGATTCAAAATGGTCAATACCAGCTAATGCCTAGAATATCTACCTTTATGTGTTCCATCTAATTTTTAACAACTTCCAATATTCCTGAATTCATACTTCACGCATTCCAAGTTCCAACTTTTAATTGATGCTTGCAGCTGTTTCCTCTCATTTTGAGTCTTGCCCCATCAGCAAATGAAGGTGCCACAGGCTTTACTCCCTCAGGCCCCATTCAGCTCACGCACATCGTTATGGCTGACTCTACTCTGAGAATGCAGCTGCTCCTCAGTCATTTTTTGAATGTCTTCTACCTTGAGGGACTCATCTTCCAGTACTGTCCCTGACAATGCTCTGTTTCTATTCATTAGGGTTTCCATAAATGACCGCTTTTTGCTGCTAGCTATAGGGTTTTTGGTGGTTAATTTCTCTGAAGTGGACAGCCCATTCCTTCTTCATCATCTGTTCTTAGTCCGGAAGTTCTGCTGAAGCCTCAATTCAGATAACCCTGCTGGCATCTGAAATACCAGTGACTAGCCTTCAGCATCACAGCAACACACAGCCACCACTTCACGACAAACTGACAGAAAAGTGGTAGTTCTCAATGATATAGTACATATAAACAAAAATAGTTACGCAGACTTACAAATCAATACAAAAAGATAAGAATTTTCCTAGCATTAGTAGGCTTTTCAATAGGAAAAACGTTAAAATGTTTTGAATATTTACAAATTTGAAATGAGTGGCTATTATAAAACACAGTTTCTAAGAAAAAAGCTGTAAGCATTATAAACGTTAAATTACACTTCCACTCATGTGTCCTTACTGCGAGCTACCTGAGCATAAATGAACTCTGCAGGTGAACTGTGGGGGAAATCTGGGAAAGAGGACTATTGGCTCCTGTCAGGGAGCCACTGTATTTTTACACTTTTATCCAGAATCTTTTTTTTTTTAATCCAGAATCTTTAAAACACTACCAATATTATAAATGAAAGCAAATAAAATATTAGAAAGTTTAATTTACCACTATGGTATAGCTGAACTTTGACTATACTGTCACAATGCTCATCTATAATTTTAATTAACTATACTGAAGCCCACAAACCACTATTAATGTCATTGTACATATTTCCTTCTGGTATAGATTAATTTGTGAATATGTGTATGAATTGAAAAAGCTAATTTTAGAAAATACTATAAGGTTTTAAACTCTAGTTTCCTGCTTAATATTTATCACAATTCTGTCACCCATTATTCTCCAAAAGCAAAAATCATAACTATGAGTTTCTTGAGATAAGAATTCAGAAAAATCAAGAGCAAAAACCAATTACATACTAGAGAAAGCAATCCTCCTCCTCCTATAGTTACCCCAGCATTTTTGCTGTTTTCGATTTGATTAGAAATGGTTGGAAATTTTACTTGTTTAAAGAGATCATATGTGAACAGAAAATAGTGTATTTTTTACTTGAAATATCTTTAATGAGAGGGAGTCAAGCATCAATCTCATTAGGAGATTAATGCAGTTTACTTGGTGTGTTTTTATATTTGTCAGTTTTCCTCACTCTGACTGTACACTTATACTCCTATTTTTAGATATTTGTCATTTATTTGTCAGTTTCCCCCACTCTGACTGTACACTTATACCCCTATGTTTAGATATTTGTCATATATCTGTCAGTTTCCCCCACTCTGACTGTACACTTATACCCCTATGTTTAGATAATATTAGAAAGTCACTCAAGGCTAATTAAGGCTGTAAACACTGGCGTGACACCAAAAAAAAAAAGTTACCCACATTACAGAAGATTAGAAAAAGTACATGTAACTGAATTCTTCAAAATAGGGTCACACTTTCTTTTTAACTATGTACGTTTTTATCCTGGCAAAAATTGTTGAGAATTCCAAAGTTAAAATTATCTGCCAATTTTCTCTGAAATTATTTCAAGTAAGAAAATCTAAAAAGATGATTTAAAACAAAATCCCAACATGAATCTGCGGAAGTTTCCATTCACTGAAAGACCTACTTGCGTAGGTTGAGGATACACAGAGAAAACCATGCCAACCAAAGTCTGACTCTACAGCTGGAGCAGGCTGAGGAATTGTACTGCCTCCCTCTCCAGGGCAAGTTTTATTACTATTAAGGTAAAATTGAAGAAACAGCCCATCACCACCAATACAGTTCTAGTTTGCCATGTCCTCCCTAGATAAACAATACCGTAAGGACCTGAGACACAAAAGGAAATTGAATAAATAAATGTAACTGAGAATGGTTGTGTCTCTTTGCATAGGCAGGATACTATCTATCATCTCTGACTAACTGGTACATAAGTTTGGATTACATGCAACAGGGCTTCAAAAAGTTCATGGAACAATTCCATTATCATTGAATTCCATTTTTGCCATGAACTTTTTGAAGCCCCCTATAATATACACTTGGGGGGGGGGAAGTACACTGAAATCAGAAGATATTTGAAACTCTTTTGGAATAGCGAATCCATTAACGCAAACTTACAAGTATATAGACAAGGATCCCTGGTGGTGCTGTGGGTTAAGCACTGAACTGCTAACAGCATTACAGTTCAGTCAGTCACTCACTGTTCTTGGGAGAAAGATGAGGCTGTCTGCTCCTGGAAAGGTTAACCGGCTTAGAGACCCTAGTCCAGCAATCTGTAATTTACCAGGGCGCTTCAAGAGCTTGTGGAAAATTAGAATTGAAGGAAAATGGAATTTTACCAAAACTTTTCGAAGACTTTTGCATATTCTAAACATAGATATATGAGGGGGTACGCAAAAGAAACTGGAATTCTCTTTTCAAAGCTGTGTATTTAAATTTTTTACAAAACCACCATAGCACCTTCAAAGTAATCTCCAGTACACTTAATATATTTGCCAAACCTGCGATTCCAATCTTGGAAAATTTTTCAAACTCATCTGTTTGGATGGCTGACAGCAACTCCGTTTTTTTCTTCACCTCTTCAAAGTCATCAAATCAACGGCCTTTCATGTCCCTCTTCATTTGCAGAAACAAAAGAAGTAGCACGGAGTGAGGTCAGGTGAGTAAGGTGTGTGGGGCAAGAGAGGCATGCTGTTGTTTTATTTTTGCCAAAACTGGCACCCTGAGATGGCTGCTTGAGCAGGTCTGTTGTCATGGTGGCAAAACCAGTCCCCCATCTGCCACAAATCAGGCCTTTTTTGTTGCATACTGTTACGCAATCTTTTCAGAACCTCTAAAGAGAAAGCTATCAGTCTGACCTGGTGGAATGAACTCCAAGTTACACCACTACCAAGTTGACATTAGCATCCTTTCAGGTTCAGGAAGTTGATGGACATCCAGAACGAGGTTTGACATCAATCGACATTTCACCTTTTTTGAAAAGAGAAAACCACTCGTACACTTGAGTTTTTCCCACAGTGCTATCCTTGTGCAAGCTGTGTTCAACATCACAACAGTTTGTCGCATATTTCCACAAGCAGGAAACAAATTTCACAGCTGCATGCTGTTCTCTTAAATTAGCCATCACAAAAAACAAGGTTCGAGTGATAGTGCTTTCATAAAAAATTTTACTATGACCAGAGAGAATCTTCCCTAGTGATGCCACTGGGTGCACTATCTCAGAGTGAGTTGCTCAATGCTGGCTGAGTGCGAAAAATGGTTGAAACTTTCGGGGTACCACCCATTTCGTGGTACCACAAAGTTCCACCCAGCAGTTTTCCCTTTTTGTTGGGGGAGGAGGAGAATACCCCCTATGTTCACTACAAAGTACCTCAATGAACCTATGAATGAATACACACGCATTCAAATGTTCACTGAATTATCCAAAGTTGCTTGGAATTACCTATATACAACAGAATTGTATATAGGTACAACCTCTTATTTTCAAAATTGCTTCCTGTTACAAAACATTATAAAGCTTGACTCCAGCATGATCTGTTACTTATGTGTAACATAAGGAAGTCAAGAAGATGCCACATCCATATGTCAACCATGACCTTTTCTTCAGGATGGCAGGATAATAGATGGTTTTTCCTTTTGGTTTATCATGATTTCCTAATTTTTCCCATAATGGGACTATGTTTTAATCATATATAAAATACAGCTTCTATTTATACAAATGGTCCAAGTTAAGCATCCCCTTTACTATCATCCACATACTTACATAATACGGTTCTGCTTCCCTTTCAGTTATCTCATCCTGATAGAGTGTGAAGCAAGTTGGAATCCGCCCAAACCACACATCTCGAAGCACATCTTTGTCATCTGTCATTCTTCCAGTGGTTAAAGCAGTACATATAGGCTAAATTCTATTTTCAACCAAAGCCAAACTGAAAAGAAAATAATAAAGAGCATTAATAGAATCCTTGCAAAGTTGAACCTGCTTGTGAAGCCAAGAAAGATTATAGGAAAGAAAAATTATGTCACCAAGATAAATCACTTCCCAAATCTCTGGTTTATCCTGTAGAATAAATACGGATACTGTATCAGAAATTCTAAATGCAAAGCAATGACTTATATAAAAGACCACAGAAGTGAACCAACTCAAAATCACCAGTGTATGCAAGTACTGAACCACTGCCAAAGTGATCATTTATCAATATCCTTCTCAAGTCCCAGAGTAAGAGTCTACTTCTCAACTAAAATGAACACTTCCCCGACTCTCCAATGATCCACAGAGCCAGCTCCAAAGGGTCTGATTTTCTTCAAACAGCCCTGCTCCAGCTAGTATTTAATTTGCTCCAGATAGGTATCTATCTGTAAGAATGCCTGTGCTGTATCTTGGAAACAGCGCTGTATTTATTATTCAATTTATTTATTACTTCATCCTGTCCACAATCTGATCTCACCATTATTCGTACAGCCAGAATGTTCCTTACACAATTTGGAGAGGGCATCCCTGAAGGAGAACCTACTAAGGTGGGTTGGCAGAGGCAGCTGCAGCAGGAGATGGACTGACAGTACTGCAACAGCAGGCTCAAACACAGCAACAGCTGTGAGGATGGTGCAGGACTGAGCAGTGTTTTGCCAGGTGTATGTGGGGCCACTGGGAGTCGGAAGCGACTCAGTGGCATCTAAAACAACAAGTTCTAGTCTTGTTTTCTCTGTTAACTGACTCTCCAAACTCCTGGCTGTGTCCGCCTGCCCCTCTTTGCTCTGCTCTTCCCCACCTATTGAATCCTAACCAGTCCACAATTCCCTGCTGCAAAGAAGTGTTTTTCTTCAGACTTCTTAGAATATTTATTTCCTATGCCATCAATATAGCTTTAAATCTGCAAACATACTATTCCCCAGATATAGAAAAACATGCTTTTGACTTCTGTAATATCCAAGTGTCTTCTGGTATCAATAATCTACAACTAAATAACACCATAATACACTAATAAATGTGGAAAATAGCATAGGTGATAAAAAATGCTTAAGAGTTAAGGAATCTGGATACCAAGATTCAATATCCTCATTCTTTGCCAAATAATATTTCCCACCTTTCAAAGGGCTAGCTAATTCTTAATTTATCAGTATATGTGTGGGAGTTCCAAGAAGTTTGTGAAAAAATGTAATTAAATCTTTCCACAAACTTTAAGAATCCTCGTTATATTTGAAACACTTTAAATAACAGTTCAGCCAAAATCAATTATTAATCCTCTTTTCTTTTCTTCCCATCCATTCACCAATGCCAATAAATGACTGCCTAGTGGCACTGTGGTTACATGCTGGGCTGCTAACCCCAAGGTCAGCTGTTCAAAACCACTAGCCCTTATGTGAGAGAAAGATGAGGCTTTCTACTCCCGTAAAGAGTTGCAGTCACAGAGACTGCAGTCACAGAACTGCAGAGAAGCAGTTCTACCCTGTCCTATAGCATTGCTATGAGTCAGAATTGACTCGATGGCAATAAGATACTGAGAAACAAGAGAAAAATTCAGGTAGAGTTTTGAACTTTGAGTTAAAGGGGCTTCAGAAAATTGATGTATTTTAACACTTTAGAAGTCAACTGGATACATTATCATCTACAGACAATTAAAACTGCAGTAAATCTTAACATGTCCCAACTCACAAAATGCAGGACAAGAATCCTGGTCCTTTGACTGAGTCCATGATCTTTACTCATAAATGTCACTATTTCAAGCAAAAGACAAAAATGCATTCAAACGGATAGGCCTTCAAATTCAAGCAACATACTCAGTTTCTGCACTGTGAAAATTACAAATCATACAAAATCAACTCACTGCACACAGGCAAGACTTCTTAATACATCCGTGACTTGCTCTTTTTGAATAAATTTATGTGACGGGGAATAATGAAGTCTGGATTCACAGCAAATCTGAAATTCTACTGGTTATAAATCAAATCCACTGCAGTGGATCAATTTTGACATACAGATTCTATAGGACAGAGCTGATTGCTCTATGGTTCCTGAGGCTACAAATCTCTATCCACGGAAGCAGATTGACTCATCTTTTCCCATGTGGAACAGCTAGTGGGTTTGAACCTCTGACCTTTCAACGAGCAGCTCAACACTGGACCCACTAAGCCACCAAGTCTCCTAGAACCTGGATACACGCATTTAATCAAGCAATAGCTAGCTACAAACGGAAAAATCACTTGAGGCAAATAACGTCTTCAAGAAATTTCATTATGATTTCAAGACTGAAAAGTCACTAACAGCATCTACATTGCAGGAGTTCCTTCTCAGAAGAAATGAGCAGAAAATACAATTCAAAGTGAAAGTGGGTAAGACCCTTTAAGAAAAGACATCTTTAGGTGGTTCTCAACCTTCCTAATACCGCAACCGCTTAATACAGTTCTTCATGTTGTGGTGACGCCCAACCATAAAATTAATTTCATTGCTACTTCATCACTGTAATTCTGCTACTGTTATGAATCGGGCAACCCGTGAAAAGAGTTGACCCCCAAAGGGGTCACGGCTCACAAGTTGAGAACCACTGTTACAGGGTTTTCTCTTCTCCACAGCTACTGCCCTCCCCCAAGTAGATATAATCATCTAACTTGCAGATCATGGGACATCATTTGAGCCAAGATTATTAGTAAGTAGGTATGGCACTTACATAATTTTTTGTCAACTTGAGAGAAGGGGTGGAGTCTGGCCTGTCAATCAGGTCATCGCCAATCACACATTTGTGGTGGCATGGCTTTCTCCTGATGATTCTAAGAACTTGTCTTCCTCCCTGGAGGCAGGACTCTCTCCCTGAGAGACATTCCTGCTGACAAGTCACATGAGCTATGCTGATAGAGCCAGAGCCCTGGAGCTGGAGGAGCCACTTGAAGACCATGCTAGCGCTGAGATGCTTCCACCACCACTGGATCCACAACTTTCCACCCACTGGCCTGTGATCTTCCTGCATTTGGGGTCAATGCATGTGAGTCAATGCTGTGTGAGTCTGAAGAGGAATTTATAGATTGGTATTGGACATATGGGCTAAAATCGACTTATGGACTGGATCTGGACTGTTTTCTTGATATACAATTACTCTTTGATATAAAGCTCTCTCTTACACATACATGAATGTCTCTGGATTTGTTTCTCTAATCAACCCAGACTGAAACAGTGGGGATCCCCACCGAACAAATTATTGTACATGCATGTGTGGCTCTCTGCCCCCTCCTCTACTGTCAGGTGGGAATACATTTTACCATCACAGCCTTCTCCTGGAGTTCTCTTGTGCTTCTTCATTCCTTGTGTCAACAACAGATGGGGAAATAGATCTATGTGCCATATTTATAGGTT